GTGCTGATGCACCACAGAAACAGCACAGACAGTCCAGGGCAGGAAAACTGCCGAGTGGAAATTTCGTGCAGAGTCAGAATCTATGGGGGCAACAGTAAAACAAAAGGCCCCCAAATCACCCCACCACCAAGCAAGGGTTGGAGAGACCAGGGCTTACGTTAATTAATGTTTACAAAGTGGTTGGGGATCCCTGAAATGAAAGAGACTATTCACAATCCCCAAAGAATTATTATTATCAGCAACCTGAATAATCTGCTGTGTTTGTTTGTTTTTTTAAGGAAGCCATTATTATCGAGTACCTACTGTGTGGCAGGTGTGCTCACATACTTGATCTGATTTAATACTTTAAATCAGCCTATGTGCTAGGTTTGAATTTTCTTCCTTTTTTGTCTTTTTTTGTAATCCTCTCTGTACATATGAGAACACCAAATTCAGCAACATTAAGTCATTTTTTATAAAGTGGCAGAGCCGAAATTCGAGGCTAGAACTTTCTTCGTGTGAAGGTCTCTCTCCTTTTTATCCCATCCTTACCTCTTCCAGTCTTCCCTTCCCTTCAGAGTCTTCCTGCATTTAAAACAAAATTTCACTCAAGGAGGCCTTTGGCTCTTCTCTTTTTGTATGTCCTTTTTCTAACTGAGATACATTTTACAATACAGTGAAATGCACATATCTGAAATTTACAAGGCAAAGCATTTGAACCCACATCCCTATTAACATCATGGGCATTTCCAACACCCCAGAAAATTCCCTGGTGCCCCTTCATTCACAACACCTTTTTAAAAATATGACAAGTAAAATGAACTACTTTCCTCTGACCAAAACAGTCTTTTTGTAACTTAGGCAATGAGGCTGTGCCCATGGGGTATATGCCTGAGGTGGGAACACTGAAGTATTTGGTGCTGGAATTATTGGGAAGGGGGATCCAGTTAGAAGTCTGCACCCTGCTGGCTGCATCCACTGAATGCATTGGGGCCAGATAATCTGGACGAGACAGAAATAAGAGACACAATGGTGTCTGGATTATTCTAACTACTATCAACCATTTTGGCCCGTCCAGTGTATCAGGCACCAAACTGTAATACCCTTGTGTACACTTAATCCTCCTAATTATTACTTTCATTTTACAGCTGAGGACACTGGAGCTCAGAGAGGTTAGATAACACCCCTAAAAACACACAACTAGAAAACGGCAATCTTGCAATTCAAATCCAAGAGGTCTGACGTCGGAAGCCTTTACAGCTAGATGTTGATGGGCAGATGTTAAATCCCAAAGATCTCACGGGCCGGTTACATTCATTCGACAAACAGTACACAGCATCTACAAAGTGCTAGGTGTTGTGCTGAGTGACACGGAAGGAGATACAAGGATGAATAAGACTCGAGCTTGCACTAGTGGTGCCACAGATAATGGGGAAACACTTAAAACAGGGTCAGGATTGTCAGGGAATGGGGGAAGGGCCAGCCAGGCATGGAGGGTAGGGAAAGGGGTTCACCAAGGCAGGCCTCACAGAGATGCCAGAAAGATCACTCTGGAGCCAAGTCTTCAAGGATGAGTGGGAACTGGCCAGCTCAGAAGGGGTTTGAGATGAAACGACAAGCACATACACCAGCATGGTGAAACACTTCTGTCCATTCCTTACTTGGGCAAAATCAACTGAGCCAAAATTTAAAAGCAACAATCATTGGGGTCCTCAGCTCTTCAAAATGGCTAAAAATTAACATTTAAAAAAACAGCTCTAAAGAGTAAAACAATCATCACAAAGTTCACACCCTAAGCCCATGCCTGTGATTTTTTTCAGAGTGATCAAGCCCTCACTTAAAGCCAATGATCCTTCATTTTCTGAGTTGAGTCCCATGGGACTAGTTTCATGATTCTTTGGGCCTCGGCGGCAAACTGGAAGGGTGGACAGGAGCAGAGATGGCAGGACGAAGGGGCAACCAAGGTAGGGAAAACAACACTTGAAAAGATAAGTGAAGAAACTCACAGATCAGTACTCTTCAGGACATCCCTGTATATACTATTACACCAGAGCCTGCTCAGCTCAACAGGCATAATAAACTCCAGCTGTGTACCAGGCCCTCTCTCAGGCTTGGCAGGGGATGTGAAAATGTAAAATTTGGCACTGCCCAGTTCAGTGCAGTAGAAACAAAAGGTCTATAAACTGAAACAAGAAGAATGTCAGGTCGTGAAGGGTCTCCAATTGTGTACATAGTGAAGGGCGGAGGGGTGGCCTGATGACAGGGAACTCATCTGTCACTAAAGAGCAAGAAACTTAAGCAAGATACTTGAGTTTCCCATGCCTCAGTTTCCTCTTTTGTATAATGGGGATAATACCAGCACGGTTTTAAGGCAACGCTGAAGATCAGATGGGTCAACACACAGAGTAGAGTTGGATGCACATGTTACTCATTATTGCCTCTGTACCTCAGTCCTTAGATTTAGGAACTGCTCGATCAATATTGCTGAACAAATGAGTTCACAAATGAATGGATACGTGATGCTACTGAGTCAAAGGGGAAAAAACTGACCATGTAAAACATGAGCTCTTTCATGAGGTTTGCAGATTAGAAAGACTGCCACACAAAATAGTTTAAGAAATAGGTATGTGTGTTTAATGTATGTTTCAGATACGAAAGAAATTCATCGCTCATTCCTTAACTCTGCTGCATCCATGACCTGCCATTTTAAACAAGCCCAAGAAAGACAGACAAGATCACAGTGGAGTTAGAGTTTACCTCACACTAAGAGACGGCTGAAGGGGCCCTGAAACCCAGGAGTTAAGCTCTGCAGTGTGACAGCAAACCCCAGCCACCACACACTCACCCTGCCCAAAACCAGCGCTGCGGGCTTCTCCTTCCTTAAATTATACTTACTCCAAAAAGGATAAACACAAACACTGTCTTTCAAAGATGTTAAAGATCATAAACGGAAAACCAGGTTGAAAAAATATGGAGGCTCCTACACAGGGAGCTGCAAGAGGATCTGGGGATGCCTTACAGATCTCCACCCTAATTTTACAAATGGGAGACTGAGGTCCAGGGAAGGAAAGCGAGTCACCCAAAGTCATAACTTCAAGAGACTGGCAGACAGTGGTAGAGCAGGGTGCCCAGATTCCCAAACTAGAGCCTCCTAAGGGGACTGCTCTGTTCTGCCAAAGGAAACATTGAGGGAAAAACAAGACGAGGTGCCAGCTCTGCAGGGGATAAAGGCTGGGGGGGAGGGGAGAAAGGAGTAACGAACCATTGTGGTGGGGCAGCTAAAAACAAGGGTGATGGGCACACGCAGCAGGAAGGAAAATTTATGACCCTCCACGCTTTTCCTGAAGGTAGGATTCCAAACGAGGAATAATTTGGTCCAGCCCAAGTTCCTGATTTTTGCAGGTGTACCCAACCCCTTCTACAGAAGCACACAGAAGGACCAATGCCTTCTTCCCAGGTGTTTTCCTCTGGGTCAGGATATCTCGGGGCGAGGGGTGGGATGCGGGAAGACTCGAAGACACCCTCTCGTTAAGGATTGCGCCCTCGACTGGCTGCAGAGGGGGAAAGGCTCGGGCAAAGAGATCAGGAAGATTCTCCGAGAACGAGACCCCGCCCTCCCCGCCGCCCCCCGCCCCCGCCTTGCTCCTTCCTTCCCCTCCCCTAACATAATGGTGATCAAAGCCAGGTGAAGGGACTGAAAACTGAGGGTTGGTTTCCGGAGGGCTTTTACTAGAGCGGGTCGCCCCGTGCGCCGGCTCGCTCCCGCACGCGTTCACGGGCACACTTCACACGCTCACGCGCATACAGAGACTCACACACTCATATGCACACTACTGGCACCCCAGAGGCCCGGCCACGCCCGCCCCACCTCTCTTTCACCCCCGGGAAACGGACGGGCGGCAAAAATGAATGAAATCTGCCCAGAAAGACTGCATTTCAGCTCCAACCACGCAACCTCTGGCCAAACCGCCAAATATAAAACAAAGTTTTATTTCGCTTTTTGACTCTCCAGTTACGCTTCTACCATTTCCTGTGGAAAATTGAAGCTTTGAAATGTCTAGCTCCGGCTTTCATGGACAGGGCCGCCAGTTCGAGCTTTCGAAAACCAGAGCCCCCCAGCCCCACCCCCTCCGCCTCCAGAATGGCAGGTTCGGTCCCACCCAGCTCCTTCCTCCAAAACAGGGCGGGGGAGGGGGAGGGAAGAATGACCGAACCTGCTAGAAACGACGCCCTAAATTGACTACCCGCTTCAGAACCCCGCCCCACTCCCATCCTGCACGGGTTCCTGATGGCGCTCCTTAAACCAAATGGTAACAGCTGCAGCGCCCTGCCACAGGGCACCCGAAGCATCAAGAACTGGAAGGTCGGAACTGGAAAGGGTGGGCGTTCACTGCGCAGCACCCACGAGCCTTGCGCTCTGGCCCTTAAAAACGGCCCCGGAAAAACTTGAGACCTTCAAGTCTTCTCGCTCCACCTTCTCACCATACACACATCTCCCCTACTGTCTTTACGACTAGCGAGCACTCAAATGTTCTGCCTTTGTGGTCACGGGGCCTCTCCACCCAGACTCTGACGGTGACCCCCTAAGGGCGCGGGGAAGTACGCGAACTAAGCAACGAAGGAAAGACTGCACCTCCTCGCGAATTCCAGGGAGACAAACTTGTACACCTGAGAATTTGGCACCTTCAAGGTCATCAAAACAGGGCTCTGGCAGAAATGTGTAGTAGACACAAAAGATCGCAAACCTTTCTGCCCCCCAAAAGGGTGTTCAGTTCTTCCCCGTTTGCGGGAGGCAGCCAGCGCCCCGCCCCACACTGGGGGGCGGAACCGCGCGCTCTCCGGTTTGGAACCTTAGGAGCCTGAGCACCGGAGGGATCAGGCGGTTTCCGGCCACCTCCAGCTCAGCGGTCCCCTCAGAAGCTTGGGACTGCAGCGGGTGGCCGGAAGACGCGGGAGGAGAACGCGAGGCAAACTTGCCAACAGAGTTGGCCGTGTCGAGTAGCACTTGCATGGCCACTTACCGCTGGCGTTCTTCCCGCAGATGAGGTGCTGGTAGGGCTGCAGAAGCCCCCAGATCTCGGAGTCGTTGTTGACCGTGTGCTCCAGTGTCTCCACGGTGAACTTGGGCGCCTCGTGGAGCGCGTGGTGGTGGTGGTGGTGGTGGTTGGCTGCGGCAGCGACGACCGGCGGGGCTGCGGCGGCTGTGGCAGTGGAGGCCGGCGGGGCGCAACAGCTGCTGCCCCCGCTGGCGCTGCTGGCTGCGCTGCAGGCGCCGCCGCTCGCCGCGCCCCCTCCGGGTGACTCCCGCTCCTTATCCGCTGCGGGGACCGCATTGAGGCCGGAGCCCGGGCCTGGGCCGGAGCTGGAGCCGGAGCTGGGACCGCTGCAGCTCCGGGGCTGCCCGGAGGCCACGACCCGTGCGTAGATGTCCCGGAAGAGGCTCTCCATGCAGGCTGTCAGGTAGATGGCGGCGTGCTCATGGATGCGCAGCGCCACGCGGCTGTCCACCATCCAGCGGTACACGCGGCCCACAGAGAAGGTGAGGCCGCAGCGCGCCGACTTGCCGCGGCCAAGGCGGTCGCCGCCGGCACTGCTCATATTGTAGAGGGACAGTGCGGCCAGCGCGGCTGCCGTGCAGTGCGCCGCCAGGCCCCAGGACAACACGATCTCCATGGCGCTCTGGATCTCGTACTTGGTGCACTTAGCGAAGCGCAGGCTCAGGCGCTGCGCCTCTTTGGCGATGCGTACAAGCGCCCGGCTCACCAGCATGGACAGCTTGGCCAGCGCGTCTTTAGGCAGGCTGCCGGGGACCGCCGGGCCGGCCCGGGGATCCCGCGAGCGCAGCAGCAGCACCTCCAGCTCCTGGAGGGTCCAAGGGACCTCGTCGAGGTCCGGCAGCAGCCGCGAGCAGTGCTGGCCGGCGCAGTCCAGCCCCTCGGAGTCTTCCACCAGGGCAGTGTTGACGGTGTCAAAGCTGTTGTGCCGGCTGTGCATGGAGTCAGCTAGAGGCGGCCAGCAGCTCCCGCCATACGGGGACGCCGGGTGTGAGTCAGAACAGCACAGGGACAAGTTGGAGGAGCGCACCGAGTCCGCCGCGCCACCATAACCCGAGTCCAGCGTCAGATCCTCCAGCGTTCGCACTATGGGCTTCTTACCTCTTCTTGCCATCTCTGCGCCACTTCATGCTGTGGCCGCCGGAGAGCCGAGGGGAAGGAGCAGCGAGAAGCAGCGGGCGCCCGGGCGCGGGGAGAGCTGAGTCCACCTCGACTCGGCTCACTTCTCCACCAGCCGCTACTACCAAAGTGTTACTACTTTCGGCTGCCTCCCCGAACCGCCGCCGCTGGAATACACAGGGGAGACCCCGGAGTCATCTTCCAGAGCCCAGGCCGGAGCTGGGGCTCACTGAGGAGCGGGCCAGGCTGGGAGGGAAGCTCACACTGGGACTTGCCCCTTCTTTCCAAAATAAAATAAAAAGTATCTGACCCTCTCCTTTCTGGGCCCGGCTGTTTGCACAAGCCACCAGGATCCCGCCTCAGTGTTCGTAGGACGGAAGTAGACTCAGATGCCGCCGCCGCCGCAGCAGCAGCAGCAGCTCGGCCGGCGGCTGGCTCCCAGCTCCCGGCTCTTGGTTCCCGGATCCCCGCCCGGGGTTCACTCGGCGCCCGCCCGCCCCGCACTGAAGCGCAGCAGCAACCGCGGCGGCTGCAAACCCTGCCAAACCCCGCAAACCTAAGGAAGCCCAGGGGGCGGGCGTATGTAAAACAGGACCCAAGGAGAGCCAATGGGATCAAAGGATGCTAATTACCTTTTTTTTAAACTCCTCAGCTGCTCTCATCCCCGCCCCTCACTCACGCCCCCAGGTTATGATCAAGGCTGCAGGAAGTGGGGAGCAGCGGCCTGTGCATTGGGGGGCCTGTGCGAGCATAGGGATGCAGATACTTCCCCCCTGCTGCTGTCTCTACCCCCCAGACTCCCCGCTTTGGTACTAGAACCGGAAGGTGGTAGGTTGAGCAGGTGATTCCCCCCAACCCCGGACCGAGGTATACTCCCCTTGACTGTTTATACAGTGTCTGCCCGGGGTCGCTCTGCCTGCCCCTGCGTTTCGGATTTCACTTCCTTTACCACACATAGCATGTTTTTTCCTCCTCTCATCTCCCCCACCCTCGGGTACCGAAACAAATTAATGCAGCCCTCTTTCAGCCTCAGTTTGTCCTAGTGTGGAGGGAAATGAGAAACCAAAGGAGCCGAGGGGCCAGAGGGATGCCACCACGGGAAGGCCGTATGTCTGGACATCAGCTACCTGCCACCAGGGGCCATTCACTAGGGTCCTTTCAGCAGGCAGGAAGGTCCTGAGCCCATCTTCCTAAACCTGGGGGCGGGGGAGAGGGAGGAGCTGGAGAGAAGGCTCAGGTCCCACTTTGCAGTCCTGGTGGGTGTGGTTCCAGGCAGCTGGAAATTTGCATGAAAGGGAGTTTACTTTTTGACTAAAGATAAAACATGTGCGTGACTTGGCTGCATTCGTGTCAAAAGGCAGTCTTGTTTGGCGCAACCTACCAGGGCAGAAACCATTATCTTCTTCACCTGGGCTTTCCCCAGCTCCCGTGCAACATTTCTGCCTGGGGTAGGAAACCCTCTTCCTCTGGCTGGCTAGAATGTTCATCTTAAGAGTCTCCTCCTGTAGGAAGGTAGTCCAGATCCAGATCCCTCAATGCTGGCTTGGGTGCTTGAGCTGACGCCCCACCCCCACCCCTACCTCATTCTTTCTGAGACTGTGGAATTCTGGACGCTCCTAACACTAGGTCGTTTCAGTCTGGTAACAGGCCTAGACTGCACACTGGACTAGGGAGGTCCCCAAGCATAGACCCTTGGGAAATATTTGTTGTAAATGGGTGGATGAAGGAAGAAAGGATATGCTTTTGAACTGTTGGTTTGAATGTTCGGCAATAGACTTCCTCAGCTAACTCGGTAGACTGATGTCCTCACCTGCCAACCCATCTCCACCATCACCCTTCCCTTCACATCAGTGAACCGCCCTTACCCTGTGTATCATCCTAATGTATGCCTCATCACCTCTCACTTTGACGATTATTATATGATATTTTATGAACTGGTTACCTTCTCTGATGGCCCTTCTTTCTCTAAACCATCCAGTCTAAGAATCTTCTAAATGTGCAGTCCTGATCTTGTAATTCCTCCCGAAAAAATTAAGGTTCCCCACTGCCTTCTGGATACATCGGGTTTGTGCTGGCTAGCTGGCCTTCACTGATCTCTTTACTCTGTTCCCAGACTCGCTTTCCGTAATATAACAAACCTTTTAGAAGGGATTGTGAGGCCTAACTTCATGTGCTAACTTGAGTGAGCCACAATTGCCCAGTTTATACGTTGATTCTACCTAAGTCTCTGAGGACCTTTCCAGAGGAGATTAGCATTTGAATCTTTGGACTCAGTAAAATAGATTGCCCTCTCCATCCTGGCTTTTCCCATCACTGATTGAACTTGGACGTCTCATGTTATCTTCAGCCCTTGGGCTGGAATTGACATCATCTGCTTCCCTGATTCTCAGGTCTTCGGACTTGAACTAACTATACTACCAGCCTGTTTTTTTTTTCCAGAGAATTGGAACCAATAGAAAATATATAATCTCTAGAAACCCAACTAATACATATGGTCTTTGATTATCTGAATCCTACCTTTCTCTGTAGCCTCTCCATCATCACCCTAGCCTCCTAAATATGTATTCATACTCGCAGACACAGATATACTACACTTACACAGATACGTGTACACCCATGAATAATCACAGACACACTCACAGACCTACACAGATAACTGCACACCCATGGATGAACACACAGACACACCCCCACACACACCCTGTGCTCTAGCTATACTGACATCACTTGCTGGCTTTCCAAGTGACCATGTTGTCTCTTGCATCGGATATGCCTTGGTAGATGTTGTTCTCTTTTCTCAGGACACTTGTCTTCCTCTTCTCTACCTGGCAAACTTCTCATCCTCTAAGATTCAGATCCAGATTTCCTTGATGTTGTCTGCTCTTCACCCAGCCCAGACCTGGGAAGGCGTCTCCATCTCTGTTGCTCAGAACCTTCTCTCCTCTGTGTGTTTCCCTATGAGCTCATCCACTCGTGTGCCTTCAGTTAACACCTATGTACTGATAATGCTTGAGGGACGACCACTCAGCAGAGTTCAGGTGGCAAGAGAACCTGGAAAAGCCTTCCTCGTGCCTAGGGGGAAAAAAAGACTGGAAAGCAATGGGCCCAAGATGGATTTATTTTCTTCTGTGGCACCAGCTGGACTTGGGTTCCAGTACTGCCTCTGCCAATTTTCCGATCATGTACGCAGTGTTCAATCAATCTCTTTTGTCCTCCCCTTTCTGGCTTTTGGAATGCAGAAAATAATCACATGCATGAGGGAGGGTTTAAATGGAACTTTTTCATATACAAGATTTCCTAACACAGTGTGTCCCACACGTGATAATAAGCCTATAAATGTCTGTTACCATCATCTACATTTTCTACAACAAACACTGATTTCTTAGAAGCAGGAAAAAATATGACAAATGTTACATATAAAATCCAACTTACGCCTCAATGCTGGGCTGCAGCGCTACCTCCCCCAGGAGGTTTTTCCGCACATCGGTAGACGCGTTTGCCCCTTTCATGCTACAGAAGTTATGCACCTGCCTTCCCTCACCTTGCAGAGCGCACATTCCTTGAAAGCTGGAAACTTGCTCCCAATACAGAGCCAGTACTAACGAGCATGTCCCTTAGTGTTATGAATAACCAAAGCATATGTCCATTTAGTTTACTAAAAGAAATCATTAATGGTAATGTTAAGTGAGTCTTAGTGTGAGTGACCTGGAAAACACTGAAGATAATAAACACATGAACCAAATGTTAAATATTAGCCCCCATATGATGAGAAACTATTATAAACTCAGTGCCTGCCAAGTATGAAGAAAATTTAAATCAACCAAAACTCCTCCCTCACAGAAGTTGTCAACATTACAACTTTCTGCAGTAGTCTTCCTAATTTTTTCCCATCTTTTTTCTTCTAAGCATACATCTCTTTAGAGTTGGGATTATTCTGCAAATTATTTCGCATTTTGATTTTTTCTTAAGAAATTTTCTCAAACTTGACAGTATAATCATTCCCCACACTACTAAATATTTGTTCAAAATATTCTTCTTTTCTGTGGCTGCAAAATATTCCAACCTATGTTTATACATTCACCAGTGCATACTAAGTTCCCATGGGTTGATTCTATTTTTAAACTGCTGTCGCAATGCTGAGATGACTCTCTTTGTGCATAAATCTCTCTTCTTCAAAACTAGAAGTTTTACGTATGTTATCCTCTAAGAAACACAGACACACAATAAACACATACTAAACATTTAAAAACAAAAATCAGAAATTAAATTACTGGGGTAATTTTGCCTATCAGATTAGCAAAGATTTATAAAGTCAATCAAGATGAACATGCGTCATGATGAGGCACAAATGGAGGTGATCTTCCAGGAAGGCAGTTTGCCAATACGTATCAAAATGTCAGTGTGCATTTCTTGCAATTTCCCAAAAATCACATCTTCTGATGTTATCCCTGATGATCCTTGCGAATTTTTCAGAAGTATACAGGATGTTCTTGGTGATGTTGTTTTAACATAGGACTTCAGGAAGTAACCTCAGGGTTTTTCACTAAGCCCTGATGAAGTGAATTATAGTAACTCATATGAGGGAACATCAATCGGTGGCAAAGGATAATGATGGTGATCTTTGCTTTCACAGCATATTGATTAGGGAAGACATTTTTGAACATCAGTTTTGCAATTGCACACATAATGTGATCCCATTTATGTAAACTGCTTTAGGTAGAGCCAAATATATACACAGGTGTGCCTTGATTTATTGCTCTTTGCGTTATTGCGCTGCACAGGTGTTGTGTTTTTACAAATTAAAAGCGTGACCCTCCACCACCAAAAAAAGTGGGAAAAAAAGGGTTATGCCTCACTTTAGTGTGGTGGTCTGGAAACAAACCCACACCATCCTGAGATATGCCTGTACGAGCATGTGAATTGGCCTGAAATGATGAAAATAATACCTAAAACTAGTTTGTTGGATTTCTGGTGATTTTTGAATGAGTTTTATCGATTCTAGTTCTATCCCTGCTGTCTTTTTTTTTTTCCTTTCGTTTCCTGAGGATTTTTTATTTTCCTTTTTGTACTTCTGAACATTTTATGATAAACAGGTATCATTTTTACCAGAGCCAGAAAGCTATGTTCAAGAAAATTAAATTATTTTCTGCCTACTATTTGGAAGCCTAGCTGTCCATCAGAATACTAATATACAATTCTTTGTCCTTTAGCATTCCAGAAACCAAACAGCAATCATAATAGCTAACCCAACAACCAGAATGTGAACTAGCCTCATTCAGATGGACTCACAGATGTTGGGGGTTTCATCACTTTTCCCATCCATCTACTGTGTGTGTACATGAGTAGCAAGACCACTTGGGCATGAAGCGTGGCTGCACTACTTCCTAGCTGTGTAAGCCCGAGCAATTTTGTCAGCCTCTCCATATACCTCATGCCTTCATTCTCCATCTTTAATCGGAAATAATACCATGCCTGTAGGTTGCCTGTGAGGACTGAGATCATTAGAACAGAGACTGGCCAGCCCTGTAAACGCTACTTTTGGTTACTTTTATACA